GATTAAGGGTCGAGCGCTTACAATATACTTGGACCCAAAAATAAGCTCCTCGCTGGGGCAGAATCTAAACTTGGATCTAAATTCGGTGGTTTGTGAGTCATAATGTCAAATTTTTACCAAATTGTACTGACGGGTCAATCATCAATGGTTGAAGGAATTGTTTAGTGTGTAGCCTGAAGAAGGTCGGACGAGAGGGACAATCCGAATTGGAGAATCTTGCTGGCTGCCCTAAAAAGGAAAAAGCTTCACCTTCACGATACCAAGGTGAACTGGTGGTGAATGAAGTAGCTACGGTGCAAAAAGAATAAACATATAGTCACTTTCTCTCTTCTCTTCTTTCTTCTTTTAATTTAGATTTCTCCTTTTTTGTTGGAGACGACTGGACTCGACTCGAAGATGCGTCCTGATCAAACCAACTTTACTTTACCCACCCACCCTTTAAAATAATTGCCCTGCCATGACTGTTTCATTCAATTCTCGAGTCGTACTCAAGGAGAAGCGAACCCATTTTTGTTTGCGCTCTCTGATATGATTGCTTCTGCTGCTCCGATTTCAGTTTCAGGTGATCCCTTTGTTTCCATTTCCAGGCCTCTTGCTTCACCCTTATCCTTCAATTCCTCCTGCATTCAGCTTCATGGAGCTACATTGAGGGCATCAAGGGTATTTCTGTCGTGTTGTATGATTTATCTTCCAGTTGCCCATTTTGTTCTATTTTTTGCAAATGAGCTAATTATGTAACCATTACTGTGGCAGATCTTTAGCTTTAAGCTTGAAACACGGAAAACTGAGCTAACCCATTTGAGATTGTTGAAGGGTTTGAGGTGAGTGCTCAACTTTCCCTTGGTATCTACTTAAAGTTAAATTAGTACTGTTAGATTGTGCTTACTGTTAACTTACTTGTATCTACTTAAACAAAAATTACAAGTTTCTGGAATGGTTGTTCTCAACTAATCCCCTGGTTCTTTGGGGATCGTTATAGTTGTCTGAATGTAAGAGATAGCCCTATGAATAGAGGGCTCGGTTATTGTTTACCTTTTTTTCATTTTAATCTGTAAAATGTTTGAGCTCCCCACAACAGTGTGTAAATTACATAGATTGAAAAGAAAAATAAGACTTTTCATCTTGGTGTGTGTCTTCTATATGTATTGCAGCTTGATTATGCTTAACTTTGAGCAATCTATGCTTGTTTGATAACACCAATACTCTTAATCACTATTCTATATTGAATGCTGCTATGTGTGATATGATCCCATGGTGTTTCATGGATCAATTTTTTAATTCTTTGTGGTTTAATGGACCCTATAGTTCTACTTCTCTGTTGATTTTATAATCAACACTTTGAAGTAAAAGTTAGAATAACAAAGTGATTTGTTCTTATTGTGATGAAATCCTGTAAAACCGTTTTGTTGTATCACTTAGTACCTTGTTCTTATGTTTGCAGGAGCAAAAAGAATTCAGACTTAAAGGCTTCCATGGGGCCTTCTGGATTTACACAGCAACGTGAAAACAACAATCCAGGAACTGTTACAGAAGCTGAAAAGGGGCATGATCTATTTAATGATCTGAAGGACAGGTTCTTAAGTTTTAAAAAGAATAAATACATGTAAGTTTCAGTAGTTTCTTGTTCGCAAGAGTTTTACTTCTAATAGTCATAAGTGGAATAGAATTCTTCAAGATTGGTTTCTGCTTTCTGGCAGGGGAAACTTGGAACATTTCCAAAATCTTGCTGAGGTACAATCACCACAGGTAATTATTCTGTGTATGTCTTTCCCCACACTTTTGACTAAGAATTTGATTTAATTGCGTATTGCTTTATGGGTTTTCATTTAGTCTTTTGGGCCACTCTTCAATTTGTCTCGTAGTGAAATTAATTTTTCTTGACTAACATGTCCGAGAACAGTTTATGGTCATTGCTTGTGCAGACTCTAGGGTTTGCCCATCATATATTCTGGGATTTCAACCAGGTGAAGCTTTCATGATTCGGAATGTTGCTAATTTGGTAACTCCATTTGAGGTATATGCCTACATCAACAAGCTAGTATTCTTGTTGCACTGTGGGAGGTACACCCTGCTTTCCCTTTCTAACATCTGGCTCCATCTTCCTCGATGCAGAATGGACCAACAGAGACAAATGCTGCTTTGGAATTTGCCGTAACTATGCTTAAAGTAAGATATTTTTGCCTAAGGATTTGGAGCTTTTAATGGTTATATTCATTTACTCTCTGTACATTTTGTTTCTTTGGTCTTTAATTATTTACTTATGCATTATGCGCTTCTCAAAGTCAAGTAAAATTTTGAAGTTCATTACAGAACTTAGCTGGAACCCTGAAATCGGCTATATTGAATTACAAGGATTTCAAATTCATTTCTCTCTCATGGGCCCATTCACAAACTAGGATGAGAGAAAGACAATGATTGTAGTTATAATTCTGGTTGATCTTGTATTATATCTTCAATGAACTGCTCGGTGACAAGTTTTGAGCTCAATATGGGAAAGGAAGCAAGGGAAGCATATATGATAATGGCAGCTTTGTTTGGTCAACCGCTCAGAATTTTCAAGTCTGGGTCATTAATGGATTTGAGCAATAACATTAAGCCATACGTTGTAATAACAATTTATAGCTTGGGTTTGCGACTGTGTTATGTATCTGGAGGACATTTCAGTTTATGTGTGTGTGTGTGTGTGTAAAACCTTCTGTTCTGAAAACATATAGTTCTTCCAGACTTCTTTGAGCTGAAAGATGAAGGTTATTCTCACTGTAGGTGGAGAACATCTTAGTCATTGGTCACAGCTGCTGTGGGGGAATTCGTGCTCTTATGAGCATGCAAGATGATGCAAATGGAAGGTTGAACTTAAGATAGTTTAAACATTCATTAGTGTTTTCCTTTCTACGATGAAAAAAATACCTCTCACTTTCTTACTTGGTTATTTTTATTCCATAGCCTCTTAGAAAGCTGGGTTGTTGCTGGAAAAAATGCCAGAATAAAAACTGAGGCTGCTGCTTCGGGCCTTGACTTTGATCAGCAGTGCAGGCATTGTGAGAAGGTACTTTTCTAATGTTTTCATCCGCTAATGTATTTATAGCGTCTAATGTCTTCTTTCCTAGGATAAATGATACTCTCTCCTGTCCACAATATAGGGCATTTTTTAGAAGACCTTGTTGGTCCAAAATATAGGGCATTAGGTTTTTTTTTTCCAGCTATATTCTTACTTTATTATTCCTTTTTAAAAGTGGTCAGTTGGAATTTCAATTGTTATTATTCTAGCATTTATATAGGGCATTTAATAAGGGTATACTTGGAAAGATATACAATTTTTTAGAAGGTTAAGGTTTCAATTGACTTATTATTATTATTATTTTTTTTTGGGGTGAATCATGAAATAATTACTAATTCCCTATATTATAGACTGGAAGGAGTATATCTTTGCAGTTAGTTGTTGACAGATCCTCGATGTCATTGTGCAATTAACCGACCTCACTTAGTGAAGTAGAGTTTATTATTGTTGTCTTAATGTATTTATTTGCTCATGCATTATCATATATCTTAGTTGTCTGTTTTCATCAGCTTCTTGATTTCTATGATATGGGCCTTTGCAAATGTTAATTCCTAAAGAAATTAATTTCAAATGTGCAGGAATCACTTAACCATTCCTTATTGAACCTTCTGACCTATCCATGGATAGAAGAAAGGGTGTGCAAAGGAGAACTGCTCATTCATGGAGGTTATTATGATTTCATTGAATGCTCATTTGAGAAATGGACATTAGATTACATGAAAATGAATTAGAAGAACTGCTAGCTTATTTCAAAGACAGAGTTGTTTGGTCCTAAACTTTTGCTTCTGTTTCTCTCAGCTCTCGCGGATTGTTTTCCTCTTTTGAAATAAATGTTTCTTAAGTGAGCTCTTGTCAACTGATGATTTTATAGTCCATACATTTATTTCAAATTATGTTATAAGTTGGGTTCAGCAGAGATTAAATAACTCTTATGCTATGTTTGGATGTATATATAAATTTGGATTTGGACCAAATCTTTTGTTTGGGCATTTTAAAATTTATGGATTTAGATTTATTTGTGTATGAATTTGAAATACGTCGATTTTAAATTTGAGATTTGAAATGTAAGATTTCAAATTTAAAATTTAAATTCAAATTCATTAATCCAAACTTTAAATTTGTCAAAAAGAAAAATTAATTATTTGGTTCCTATAGTTTTGACTTCAATTATAAGTCAATCTCTAAATTTTAATTTGATGAAATTCAATCCTTGTAATTTTGACTTGATTGCAACTTAATTTTTAAATTTTAATTTATTACAAATCTGTCCTTATAGTTTGAGTGATATAAAATAGAAGTCCTTAAGTTTTATCCTTAAGTTTTAAGAAATAACTTTAGCCTTTATAATTTTATTTTTTTAAAATATAGGGACTATTATTTTGAATGATTAAAATTAGAGGTACTAAGTATATTAAGTTAAAGTTTAAGAATTGAATTGCAATCTAAGTTAAAATTATAAAGTATGAGTTATAATAAGTTAAAGTTTACACACTGTTCAAATATGATTAAAAGTCTAATATCAGACTGTCATTAGGGAAAAAAAAAACATTAACGTGAGTTTATTGAACAGAATGTAAATACATATATACATACAAACTAATTTAAGTCGACATGAGTGGCTGGGAGCTCTGGTCACTTAAACAAATGGTGGAACCTATCTTTTACTCTCAGGTAATCTTTGCTCTACTGTAACCTACTTCTTATCCTATCAATATATATATATATATATATATATATCATTTGTATCATATTTAATTTTTTTCATACTTGAATGATGTAAAATATTTCTGCTGCTATGCATAATCTTGGCAGTACAGTCTTACAATATTCAATGTATGTTATCTGACAAGTATTAATCTATACATTCACTTAAAATTATGCCATGACACATCATTTCGTCTCTACAAAACCAGTCCTTAGTTTCTGCTTTGCACTTCAGACTTCAGAGCAGTAATATCTCTGGGTATTCTCCTTCCCCTGGCTGCTTCCTGCACCATACAAAAATAAACATTAAATATTATTCAAATATCAATATATATATATGTATGTATGTATGTATGTATGTATGTATGTATGTATTCAAAAATACATTTGAAAACAGACATATTTTTTTAAAACAATATCATACCGAAATAATTTGTCCAGCCAAGAGTTAAAATCGTCCACAGTTGACTTGGTCTCTTCTTCAACAAAGAGTTCAAGATGATCCATCATATTTGATATGGGCATTTCTATATATTCCTCACCATCCAAATCTGGGATGAAATTTTCTTCCTTCTTCGCTTCTTCATCAACACCAAAGCTGCATCACAATATTTTTTTTAAGAACATTGAAATTAATACTGAAGCTTTATTATCTGAGAATCTTGTATGAGATTCACCAAAAAAAAAAAAAGAATCTTGTATGAGATTTGCATAAATCAATGAGAGAAATTATATGATCTTTCATTAATATCTTTCCTTCAAGTTCTATGATAAAGATATGATAAGTGCATAATCTTTTTCCTTAAAATATTACATGCAGAATTGATTTTTTTTAAAAGTATATATAAATAATTTTTCTTAATAAGTTTAACATACTCATATATATAAATTTAATTTTTATGAGTAGGAAATACGTTTTAAAGGAGAAGATCTAGGTACTTATATATATATATAATATGCTTTTGTTTAATCAAGTCAAATTAAAATAAGTGAATTTCAAAGTGTTAATGATATTAATAATAAAAGTTTGTTATAGGAGAAATGATATACACATTAAAAGATCTACCTGATCTTTTGATTTAATTGAAAACAAATATTTTATGTGAAAAAGTATTTTAATATTTTTAAACTTCTATAATTGAATTCCCTTGATTCTATTCCTAATAAGGCATAGAAAGAAATTTTTTTGATTCTATTTATAAGTTATGTCATTAATTTTTTATTATAATTTTTTTTACCCTCTATTAAATATTGATGAGAAAAAAGATGTTATTAAAAAATGTGTCCCTTCCTATTCTTAACATAAAGGATTGATGATGTATTAATTATATTTTTATTATTATTTCTATTTAAATTCATTAACTATGATAAAAATCTCATACAAATTTAAAATTTTTTTATTTAAATAGGGATAAAATTAAAATTTTATTCTATTTTTAGATAGAATCAATAATTTAACTGTAGCTTCTTCGCTATGACAAATTAGTTCAATGTTCCTCTAAAAAGGAATAGAGGGAGTATATTTAATAGGGGTAAAATTAAAATTTTTATTATTAAATTTTTAGATGAATTAATGAGTTTTAATTTTTTTTAATTTTGATAAAATATATTAGAAGTAATTTATAAATAGTATTAAATGAGGACTTTTATATATATGACAAAATAATTATTCTTATTATTCTCGTTGTTGTCATACCTTATGTTTGTCTCTAACCACGTAGCAAACTCATCCATCGACATGTCAGTCTCTTCTTGCTTATAAAATTCCTTCTCCTCTTCTTGTTCATCAACATCAAAGCTACATCACAATATTTTTCATGAACATTGAAATTAATACTCAAGTTTTATTATCTAGGAATCTTATATATCAGACTCACATAAATCAACAACAGAGAAATCATAAGATTTTTCATTTATATCTTTCCATCAAGTTCTATGATAAAGATATCGTAAGTGCATAAATTTTTCTCTTAAATATTACATGCAGAATTGATTTTTTTTTAAAATACTATATAAATGATTTTTATTAATAAGTGTAACACAAACACATATATAAAGTAAAAAAAAAACATAATATGGAAATATAGTGAAGAAGAAGAAAGAAAGCTGGGACAGATCTCTTATATGAGTAGGAAATATGGTTTAAAAGAGAAGACTTAAGTACTTAACTTTATATATTTAATACTCCTTCCGTTAAAAAATATAAGGCATTTTTAACTGAATTTTACCTCATACTAAACTAGTTATTAATTTTTAAACTAACTCTATCTTTTTATATTTATTTCTATTAAATACTCTACAATAAATATAAAGTTATTATCAATAGGGGCACTTTTGAAAAAAATACAATAATTACACTTTGAAAGATTAAAAATGACTTATGTTTTTGAATATTCAACTCCTCAAAAAATACTTTACATTTTTGAACGGAGAAATTATATTTTTATTTAATTAATATATATTTTATATATTAATATTATTTAATATTAATAATAAAAGTTTATTATAGGATAAATAATATATAAAATATTTTAATATATAAGTATAAGTACATAAATTTTTTACAGTATTTTTTAAACTTTTATAATTGAATTATATAACAATCTAATTTAACTATATCATACTTATATGAAACAGCAATTATTCTTATTATTCTTCTTGTTGTTACCTTATATTTTCCTCCAACCACGATGCAAACTCATCCATCGACATGTTGTTCTCTTCTTCCCCATTTGTTGCAAGGGTTATTTGATTATCTTTATTTTCTTCACAAATTCTTTGTTGATTTTCTTTTGGCCCTGTTCTTTTCTTCCTGTCATCTTCTGGTAGGATTATTCTTTGATTATATTTGTTTTCTTCACAAATTCTTTTTTGATTTCCTTTTGCCTTTGTTCTTCGTCTCTTCTTGCCCTCTTGCAGGATTATTATTTGATTATTGTTCTGCTCTTCATAATTTTTTTGTTGGCTTGCTTCAGGCTCTTTTCTTTTATTTTGATGTTTAATAGCTCTATCATTTTTTCGTATTCGACATATAACATAATCTTTCACCTGTAAATTTCAAAAAAAATATTATTCCTTAGTATAAATGCAATGTAAAATAAAAATAGTCAAGTACATATATATATACAAACTTATAAAAGAAAACATATTTTATTATATACAAAGTGCATATGTTGAGATGATGAAACTTTAGGGCCCTCAAAATTTTCCTAAATTATCAATTTATTCTTTGAAATTTAATTTTTACCAATGAAAATCCCTAAAACTTTGAAATATATTCTTGAATTGGACTGGCTTGATTGAATTGAATAAACAGAAAACTGATAAAAATCAGGCAAAAGCAGTGAAATAAAAGAATAAAAAAACATAATAATTAAGCAATATAAAAGAAATTTGGAGTAAAATAAATAAATATACTTACTTTGAGGTCGTGAAAGAGCGACGGATTAAGCGAATACTCATGCATGATCCACTTGCCATCTTGATCGGTTCGGCTTTTCTCGAACCGGAACCTCCTCATGAAGCCAGCAACGACGTCGTCACCGGTTTGGCTTTGGATTACGACCTTTCTGGCAACAGCTTCACCTTCCCAAGCGCCTGATCCGACCTTCCTCTCAACATTCTTAGCTTGAGGACTCTTTCTCTTGAGTCTTGTGAAGACATAGAGATCTTCACAATGACCCGATCTCACCACTTTCTCACGGAAACGTTGCCACATTTCCCACGGATTCTCAGAACCGTAAAGATCATGCTCAACGATTACAGTACGACCTTGGCTAGGTAAGTCTTGTCCTGTGACTTTGTTGTAAAGATAGTCTCTGATCAGTTCAATATCTTTTGGATTGAATCTGAACCCTGTTGGCATCTTCGTTGAATATCTGATCTAAGTAACTTTTTCTGATCTCTCTCACTCTGATAATTAACTCGATCACTTTTCGTTGGCTTTTGGAAAAGAATCTGGCACAATATATATACGAAGGTTGGGTGAGATGATGATATAAAATTAATTAATTTAAATTTAAATCACACACACACACACACACACACACAGAATCATTTAGATTTGAATTTTTCACTTTTAAGATATTGTTTATCATTTATAATGAAAAAAACTATATTCTCAACAAAAGATAACAAGTAATTTTATGTGACGAAGGTAATTATCTTGTTAATGTCTAGAGTTTCAAATAATTTTATGTTTTGATATTTAAGATTAAAAAGAATATATAATTAAAATTTATTTTTTTTGAAATTTTACTATATTTGTTTAAACTTTCAAAAATAATCAAAATCTACTCCTTTTGAAAATTATCTGATATAACAGATGAGGGATAATGGCATAAAAAATAAAATATAATATTAAATCCTAAATAATATAAGCATATGAAAATATACAAAGATATCATAAAATTTAAAATAATTAAATAATAATGTTTTTATGAAGAGATCAACGAAAATATCATGAATCTAAAATATTAAATAATAATATCTACAGAATAAACATATTTTTTTTAAAATTTTTAAACTATCTAAAAATTGTTTCTTTTTAAAATTTTTAAAGAATGGACCCTGTTTTAACCATTGTGGATTTCAAATATATATAGATGTATGTATGTGTATATACATAATAATAGAAATTTATTAGCTAAAATAAAAAAATAAATTTAATGGACTCTCCACCAAAATTTTCTTAAAATCAGAATATTGGAAAACCTTTTTTTTTTTTCCTAAAATGAAAAGATCATCAAAATGAGTTCAAGGCATCTCAAAAATGTATGTCGTGCGAAGCCTTGAGGGTGAATTTAACCAAAGACTTTCAGGTTAACCGAAAAAAAAAAAACAATTGATCAGGTCTGAGACAAGGGATCAAAGCAACACATCAAAATTATTTTGATTATATATATTATATTGTTATTGTTGGATTGTCAAGTGTGAGAAGGATGGAAAAGACTCTCAAGATTTATTAACATGTGATGTCATATTTATTTATATATATCCTGCCTAAACCAACAGTAGATAAAAAAATACTAAAAATCCTTTTTTATGAAAATAATCAAATCTTTTTTTTTTTCCTCCGAAAAAACCTTTGTTCTTTGAAGTCGCATATAATTGGGGAGGAATTAAACCAATAACTAGGGCTACAAGACCATTAGTGACAATAACATGAGCATGTGGATGATGACGTACGAGTATACGGAATTAACAGATGCTACCATGTATGGAAAAAAAATATAAGAAGAGAAATATGTGTGCAAAAGTTTTGTGGTTTCAGAAACACAAACGATGTATAAAAGAAAGCTAATGATTGTGATTGTAGAGAATTTAGATTTAGATTTAGGGTTCGTACCTTTGAAAACGTCCTTTGGCTTCTACGTTTCTCTTTTCGCAAATCGCCTTCTTCACAAGTGTTATCTCCTGATCTTTATTTATAGAGGATTTAGAGATAGTTTTTTTTTTTTAAGATAAGATATTTAGAAAATCCCATGAATAATGGGATCAGTTAAAATCTTGCCAGATAATAACATTTGGATATTGTTTAATTTAATATTCTAAGATAATTTTAGTGGTGAGATATGGGATAATATATAGTTAGAGTTATTTTATTAAGATTATTTGAATAAAAAATATTTGAAATATCCCTTAGATTAATTATGATTTAATTAATTGAATTTTCTTATCACCATCTTTTATAATTATTTTAAATATTATTTTCTTTTAATAAAATTGCATATCTATAATATATAATTAAGTCTAAATCTAGATTATCTTGTTATATTAAAATTTAATTCATTATTATTTTTAATATTTTTAGAACTCTTTTATCTCCTTCTCCCTTTTCTCTCTGTTTTTTTTTCCCGTCATACCCTTCCCCCTCCCTGTTTCACATCACATAGGTAGGGTATTACTGACTCATGATTATTTCTTTAGTTTATTAAAAATATGGTGGGAGATAACTTACAAGATAATTCTTTGATATTTTATTTTTATATATTTTCTATTATTTTTTTCTGTTTTAAATTTCTTGATGAATAATCTCCAAAGATATTCTTTTTTCTATTTCTTTAAAAAGATATCATAGAAATAACTATAGTCATACTTTTTTTAAAAAAAAGTATTCTCTTTTTTTGACGTTGAAATACTATTACTTTAAGGTTATATATTTTTATTAAAATATTAATAATTTACTATTTAAAATTCAAACATATTATATTTACAAGTCAAATATCATAGATTTAAAAGTAAATATTAATTATAATATATTGACCTGTAAATGCCAAAATATTAAAATTTTCATAAAATTATTTTCTAGAAAACATTTTTAGACTGGTCGATACTGCTGGTGTGGGTGCCAGTCAACACCGGTCAATATTAGCAAAACACAAAGGCATATTCTCTCTCTTTAAAATTGTAAGGTATTTTTAACAAAATTTTACTTTTTAATAAAATAGTCACCTACTTTTAAACTAAACTTATCTTTTTATATTAATGTTTATTAAATACCTTACAATAAATATAAAATCATTCATTAATGAGAATATTTTTAGAAAAAATATAATGATTATATCTCAAAAGAGTAAAAATATCTTATATTTTTTGAACATCTAACTTTTAAAAAATATTTTATATTTTTTAATAGAGAAAGCATATGATATTTGAGAAGCAAAAACTAATTATAACAAAGTAAATTCGTGGGACTTACCTGGCTTATTTAATAAGTGAACAAGTGAATGACTGTATACATTGTGCCCCAGATTCGAATATATATGCGTACGTGAGAGTACTTCTCTTAAAATTCCCGGATATACCAACTCGCGGAGAAAGAACAAAAGATCTATTTAATACACATGAGACGAAAAGCAATCTGGACAGTATAAATTTATATATTTTATTTTATATTTATTTAAAAAATATAAAATTTTAATGAATATATTTTATCATCAATCTAGATAATATAAATTTAATTTGAATGATAAATTTAATATTAATTATTTTTACAATTATTATAAATTGACTATTTAGATATACTTTAAATAGTTTAGATTTAACATTTTTAAGTTGTGATTTGTTATATTTTTTTAAAGTTCTAGTTTGAATATTATTTTTATTTTTATATTTTAATATTATATTTAATAAAAAAAATTTATAAAATTGTTAAAAAAATTTAATATTAAATTTAGGTTGTTTAGAATATATTTGTATAGTCAATTTATAAAAATTATAAAAAATTTAATATTAAATTAGACAATTCAGATTAAATCTTTATTTTTGAGATTAATAATAAGATATATTTATTAAAATTTTATAATTTTTTGTAATAAACATAAAATAAAAATATAAAAACTGGGCCCGTATACACACTCACGGTAAATACATACATATATATGTTCATAGTTGAAATTTATATGATTTTTTAGTAATAGACCAAAATTTTCTCAGTGTTGGATTCACAAAGGTCGAAATTCATAAACAAAGGAAAAAAAAAATAAAGTATATCGTTGAAAACCCCATTGTATAGGAAGAGTAATCTAAACCTATTTAGACCACCTCAATATGTTCTCAAAATCAATATTAGTCCAACCCAGGCTTCAAAATTCAGCATAAAAAAAATAAAAAGAATGTAATAAAAGTAGCAGCCTTTTGTTTCCTTCCCTTTTCCTCTTCTTTTGTTGTGTCACTTATAAAATATTTTACCAAGTAGGTGATCCTACGTTTGAATGTTCTGAGTTAAAATAATAACCACCGATTGATATTTCAGTCCAACCACTAAGAAATATATATACAAGGAATTGGTGACCTACCAAAACCACACAAGCCCTACGTCTACCTTCTTCTACATCTATATATAACACCATGAACCCACATCGATTCTCATCAAATAATTACCCAGAGGCCAAAGCATCCTCTCATCTTCCCCAATACTCTTCAATACTTCACAATCCAGCATGGCTTCTACTTCTGGGAACTCCATCCTCGTAACTTTCCTTGTGGCTCTCACATTCTCAAGCATGATGATGAGTTCGAGTGTCGTAGCAGGTCGTCATCTTCTGCAAACGACACAGCCTTCGATACCAAACATGCCTGGAATTCCAAGTAACTTGCCTAAGCCAACAGGATTACCACCTTTGCCTTCAATCCCAATAACAATGCCGCAGCCAAACAATGTTCCTCCTTTGCCCACAAACATTCCGAATCTTCCTTCCATGCCTACCATTCCGACAGTGCCGCAGGTTTCTCTTCCTCCATTGCCATCATTCTTCCCAAACATTCCCTCCATTCCCACCATCCCTACCACTATGCCCTCCATTCCATTCCTCTCTCCTCCTCCTTCCAATTAATCTCATCAAATCGTTCGCTTATTCACTGCACTGTGTTGGTTGCTTTGATCGGATCCGTAGTAGTTATCCAGCACACACACATCTAATTCGACCATTTGTATGGGCTTTGATTGTACTCTTCTTCTGTCTCTGTATGTGAGTGACAGTTGTATGTGATCCTATATTTTATTTGTTTTCTTTTTCAGTTTTTTGGGTATTATTCTGGTGTGGATTTCTTGTTATTGATGATACTATTGTTTATGATACATCTTATTATACAATGATTCTGTTCTAATAACGTTGTCCTTATCTAATTGAGAGCTAGCATCAAATTATCATGATCGACAACAAATTAATTTATGAAGCACCACTTACAAATTTTAAAAAATTGGGTAAAAGTACTCAATATTTTACGAGTAAGTACAGACACCCTAAATTACGCTATAATACAATTTTACTCATCAATCTTGAAAACAATGCAAAAATCTTTAATATGTGATAGAGGTGTATATCCATTAAGGAAGGGTTGTGAATCTCACAAGTTGAGCTTAGTGCACGAATACCAATATAAAGTATTCTGCAAGAACCTACAGCACACATGCGTTAAACAACACTATAAAGCAATATTGCCATCATCCCTGTTTTTTTTTTTAATAATATTGATTTCATCAAATAAAAAATAAATATAAAATTACCAATATTTTTTTTCTTCTCATCCATCCTTGTTCCTCCTCTTCCCGTCAGTCACAGCGGTCACAGATCCACACAATCATCATACAATATATAACCAACTAGATTCATCCAACAAAATAATTCATCATCTTATAAGAAACAAATCAATTAGCTTTTCATTTAAAGAACAGATATAGAATAAGAATGCCAAGTCGATGAGAATAAATGGGTTTTCAACTCTTTGCAGGTAGGCCACTTTAGGACAACTTTAGGACAAATGTTCATTCAAATCTGTTTATGTGGTTATCTCTCTCTCTCGAACAACGTAGTTTAGGATGTTTAATTTGTAGTAACTTGTAAAATATTTTATGGGTATACTATTTTTGTGCCTTCTTGGTATAGGATGAGAGATCCACAGCTCTTACTTAAAGGACATCAGTCCTCCATTGTGAATTTAAGATTTTTGCACATTTTTTTTAAAGATTAAAGATCATTTTTGCTCTTGAATTGTATACAAAAATTTATAAATAATTTAAATTTAATTAAGGGTCAATTTTATCCCTTAACCTCTACTTGCTCCTGTTGTTAGTTATTTATTAGTAGGGCCCACTCCATATTTTTTTTGTTATTTTTTAACATCTCTCTTTCCCTCTCTCCTCCCCACTCTCTCAATGTTACAGTATAAGCTCCAGTACACAGTTCCCTTCACCGGCACCGTCCTCAACAACATTAGCTACTTCCTCCATCATGCTCATGCTCTCACCGTCATCCTTGGCCAAACTGAAGGGGAAGCATCATAAGCAAATAGGGCCAACACAGTGCTCATGAAACAAACTGATGCGGTAGCCAGTCCCCACATCAAACACCATGCAGAGCAACTTGCACAAGCAAGCCCTCCAAACATGCCCACGCTTAGATTCACCCTCCTTCTTGATTCCATTGATGACCCACTCTCTGAAGCTCTTAGCTATGGCTTCCGCCGCAGCAAGAGGACCTTCCTCCCTTTCTCTCACTCCAATGCCACCCTTCTCACACCTGACCCATTTTGAAGCCTCCTTATCTTCTCCATCTCTTTGTCCACCACCTCTCACATCCGAGCCATTCTGAAACCTCCTTATCTTCTCCATCCCTTGTTACGGCACTCATCATCACCGTCGGCAGCTTCTTCCTTCTCGACACTTCGAACTCCATGATCGACTGTGGAAATCACGAAGGAGCAAGGGCGAGTCTCAAGAAGATGCACTCATGCATGAAAGGGGAGGAGAGAGAGAGAGAGAGAGAGAGAACTTTGCCACCATCAACACCTCCCCTCGAAGTCCACTTGTGATGCCTGCCAGAAGGAGCCATAGCCGAAGTTCTCATCGAATGGGATGATGAAGTCGTGGAGATGAAGGCAGCCTTTGGGACCCATACTTGCCGCCGTCCGCCTAGTGCAAGGAGGCGCCAATACTATCTCCATTATTGTCGCAGTCGGTGGAAGCACCAGCAGGGGTTGAAAAGGCCGATGAAGGACCAGCAAGTGCACTGTTGCTGGCTCCCGAAGCAATGTAAGGCAACAACAAAGGAAACGAGTTAAATTAATTAACTTAGTGTTGCTTACCCTGGTTTAGTCTAGTTTGGCGGCGCTGCTTCTCAGATCAAAGAGAGAGAGGAAGATGAAGAAGAGGGGGAGAGAGAGAGAGGAGAGAAAGCAATATTTTTTATATTATAAAAAATATTAAAAATAAATTGTGAGACCCACTATCAAATATTTTATTCATCAAAAAATTTAAATGTGGAGCCTACTTAGCAAAGAAATAACACCAAAGGCGTAGAAGATCAAATTTTTAAAATTAAAAAATAAATTAATCCTAATTTGAGTTTAAAATTATTTGAACCCTTAACCTAATTTTAAATTAATATGAAAGATTGCCCCATAATATTACTAAAGATGTTTGTAACTTTTTGTAGAATACTTACGGATATATATTTTTATCCCTTAACCCATTATAGAAAACACGTTCAAATTCTGGTGCCACGGACTCGTAATTAAATTGCAAAAGTCTAATGACAAATTATAAGCAGCGGAGCGTTGTAAAAGACAGCAAATAAATCTCATCGAAATATGTAAATAACAAAAATGTACCACAAAATGAAATAATTATTCTAAAATTTTTAAGGACTTATCTGACATAATTTTTTGTGAAATTTTTGATCGGCCCTCAACAAAATAATAGAAAGCGTAGTTGTTAAAATCTAAACTGAAGTTGTTTATACCAAATGTGAAGTTATTAATATATGAAGCCTAGTTATTAGTTTAGTTATGCAATATACAAAATATGCTTCCTATCTTAACGACTTCAATTTAATGATCAACAGCTTCAGTTTAGATATTAACAGCACAGTTGATGGCCTTAACTTCAGTTTAGTTACAACTTTGCCTTCTTTATTAATTAATAATTTCAGTTTAGGTTTTAACACCACGCTTTCTATTTTTTTGTACAGAGACATAGATGTAAATTTATAAAACAAAAAGTTATAGAAGTCTCTATAAATTTTAGAGTAATTACCACATTTCACAGTACTATTTTATCATTTTCCTATTTCAATGAAATTTATTTATCATTTTTCCTATAAATACAAAAACATGTTCAAATTCTGGCGAGTTACCTAAAAATTGCACAAGTTTAGTGGTAAATTGCTTACGAAGTCCTGAATTATTATTCTCCCAATATAAATAAATAGAATAGCTAAGTAATTTGTCTTTTTCACATTAGTAATTTCTTGTAAAATTTTGGATTAGATATTTTTGAAGTATGGAAAAGTTAGGAGCTGAAAGCCAACGAACCCGTTATTAGTCAAAGTTGATGAGCTATCAAAGCTCTGAAGTGTGAAATTCTCCAAAGCCATCTAATGGCATTTTTTTCGCCAAAAAAAAAAAAATCTAATGGCATTTGATCAAGACATATATATATATATATATATATATTTGCCTTAACAAACCGTCAAGTGAAATGTATGTTCAATATGCCCAAAAAAAATACTTTCCCCAAGTCCAACACACCCAAACACAATATTATATGTTCTTTAATTATTGTTACTGGGTATATAATTGTCTTTTTTAATTTTATTTCACATATATTTATGGAAGAACGGCAAATAAATCCCATCCATGTAGGTACATGATAAAAGAGTACCACTAAATGAGATTGTTTCTTAGAAAGTCTAACATTTTTTTTTGTGCAAAATTACATTTTTGGCCTTTTGCAAACTATAGGAAGTGCAATTGTTAATTTATTTGTATAATAACAAGTACGATCCCTACTTTAACAACTTCGTTTTAGTAATTAACAATTTTTGTATATAGGTATTAACAATACAACTGGCCATAACTCCCAATTTAGTGATGCAATAATGACTATACTTTCTATATTAACGTACAACATGACATTCATTGTAAACAACTTCAATTTATATCTTAACAACTAAGCTTTTTATTATTTTACAGAGGTTCAGCAATAATGTTAATTTCGCAAAAAAATTATATCAGATGAATTCTTCGGGATTTTAGAACAATTATCTCGCCTTGGGATGAATTTCTAGGCTTTTTACTATCTAATCTCATTTTTTATTTGCATATTTGAGTGGAACTTATTTGTCATTTTCCGTATATTTATTTTATTTTTGTAAAAAAAACTTCTTGAAATTCTTCTTTGTACTGTAAATTCTGTTTTTATTCCGTTTGTAAATAGAAAAATTGGGGTGGCTTTTCATCTAAATTTAAACAAAAATAATATATCTTAGAATTGTAGGAAGAATATAATTTTCCTTTCAAGAATAATGCAAGTTCTATTGTGCTGAACTTCTTATTCACTTAAATGTGAACATGGCAAATTTGTCCTGAATTAGATCCTAATCAATTATGAATTAATGTGGCGCATGTTTTTGGCAGCATGAATGTGAGATTCTTATTATATTTCAAAATCAATTATGAATTTAAAATTATGGATGTTTCATAAGCTATTATTACATGTTTTTCAATTATACTTTGTTAAAAATTTATCCAAGAATCATATAAATTCTATTCTATAAATCATATTTTTGAGTCCATAATTAATTTTGATATGAATGGAAGCGATTGATTATTATTTAAAAAAAATCATACTTTTGAAATTTTAATTGATTTTGTTATATTTATATAGAGAGAGATTTCACAGTCCGAAAGACTCAAAATGACATGACATGAGGCTCTACGAACCACCAACTTTGTAGTCTTACCAGAAGATCAATTAATATATATATATATATATATCTATATATAAGTATTGGTGAACTAACAAAAGATCTCAAAAGTCTCTCGATGGTTCTCCAAACATCAAATTCCTCACCTACTCCTGTCTATATAAACAACGGGAAACCCCAAATGGATTCTCATCAAATTTCAAACCAAAGCATTCTCATATTCCTATATTCTCTTCTTCTTCGCTTTTCATCTGCATAACTCAGCCATGGCTTCTTCTGCTTGGAAATCCATCATCACTGTCCTATTCCTTGTGTCTCTGACAAGCATGGTGATGAGTTCCAGTACTGTAGCAGCTCGTCATCTTCTGCAAACAACACAGCCTTCGATACCAAACATGCCTGGAATTCCAAGTAACTTGCCTAAGCCTACAGGATTGCCACCTTTGCCTTCAATCCCAACAAATAACATTCCTCCTTTGCCAACAAATATCCCAAATCTGCCAAAACCCAATTCTCTTCCTCCTCTTCCTTCTATGCCCACCATTCCTAAAGTGCCACAAGCCACACTTCCTCCATTGCCTAACATTCCTTCTGTTCCCACTATCCCTACTACTATGCCCTCCATTCCATTCTTCTCTCCTCCTCCTTCTAATTAAAACCACAAAGATGATCGTTCACTTATTACTGTTCATCCCAGTGTTATTAGTTGTTTCATCTGTTATGGCAGATAGTAGTCAGCACAGCATATATACGCATAATTTCGCTTGTATTGGTTTACATTCTCGTATGTCTGTATGTTAGGAAGATATGTACGAGGCTACATGTCTTTTTTCCCTTCTCTTTTCATTTGGTGTGAGGTTTGGAACAGTGTATTTTTCTGTATTCCTTAGAGGGATTGTAATCTTTTTCACACTTGCTATACAATAATGTACTTTAATTTGCGATGTTCATCCATCTCGCTTGAAACTTCTAAAACCCTTATAAAGTTCCCTATTAACTATAATTAATTAAATTAATGGTTATTCAACATTTTGCCCTTAAACTATTATATCAAGGGCTTTGAATATCCTAAACTATCAAGTTGTACCATGTGGTCACCGTTGAAGTATTCAAAAAGCTGCAATGTTGCCTCTCCACTAAACATGTATTACTTTCACTGTTAATTAACTAGAAAAATTAAAGTCTACGAAAATTACAAGTAAATACTCTATAAGAAAAATAATATGAATTAAGTTCAAAAAATTACAAATAAATATTAACAGGATAATTTTTTCCTTATCCATATACAAAACTAAATTACCATTTTAACTAATCACTTTGTCAATTATCTACTTGGTAGAGGTATGAATCCTAATCCTTGTACCTACGGTAACCTAGTTATACTAGGGGGTCTACCCTTGTGCCTTGCCTAAATAAAAAAGGAACCTCATGTTCAAATTCTTACGCAATTGACTTGTAAATTACAAAAGTTTAATTATAAATTATTAGCAATGGCATTGTAAATCTTAAAGAACATACATGTAAATAATAGAAACGTTACAATCTGATCCTTAGGTTATTATTGACTTATAAATTCCAAAAATATACTTGTAAATTATCAAAGTGAGAAAAAGTCTTATATCATTGAATTTTTAAAAATTTATGTCATTTTACCTTATTAAAAATCAAAGGTCTTTAATTGTGATTAAATTACGTTCGCGGTCTTTTGGTGTCATTCTCTGGCAAGTGAATAAAAGAAGGGAAAAATGATAGGTAAGTCTTAGAAAAGGAATTAATGATATTAAGGTTCTTGATATATTTTTCTAAAAATTAAATTACAAATATCTATTTAAATCATTGTAAGCTCAAGATTTCTAATTACAAATAAGACATTTTAATTCTAAATGTAATTTTCAGTTTGCAATTAAAATTCTAGCCTGTGACTATCTGAATCAATATCTACAACTTATTAATCAATTATTACTTTCAGGACTTTACTGTGATTATTCTTCCGTTAAAGAACAACTAAGCATTCGGTCTTGTTCTCATTGTTTCTTCTAAAATTATAGCTTTGACGTTCACGAAAAAAAAAAATTATACGTTTGACTTTCTAATCATGAAAGTTAGGTGAGGTGAGAGCCAAACACGTCATTATAGTCAAGAAAAATTGAATTGAATTTTCAAATTCAGAAACTGGTGACCTATCAAAACTAAAAGGGTCTTCTCATGACTTCTTATGGCTTCTTGAAATTCTTCTTTACATGATAAACTCTTATTATTTTCATTTCCACATGAATAGACAATGGCTTTTTCACTTATTTTTAACCAAAAAAACAAGTCACACACACATCCTATAATTATTACAAGTTTTTCTCCCTTTACCCCATTAAATTTTTGTTTACATTGTTAAAAATTTTCTTGGGCTTCTCACTTATTTTTATAGGGATCAAGTTAAAAACTCATTAAATTTTTAATTAGAATAATAATAAATTTCAAAGTTTTTCTTAATTTCAACAAAATATGTTGTAAGGATGGAGTATTCTGAACTCCTATTGGGCACATAAATATGAAAATGGCATAGATCTCAATTTTTTATGCAGTAATTTTGCACGAGTTTGGCAGCATGTCATGTGAGTTTGGCGAACTAATTGACAAAAGATTTCAAAGTCTCTTTATGTTTCTCTAAACCACACATCCTCGCTGCCTACTTCTCTATCTATATAAACACCAAGAAACCCCCCTGGATTCTCATCAAAGCTCAAACCAAAGCGTTCTCTCATATATCTTCCACTATTCTCCTCCTTGTACAGTTGATAACTTAGCCATGGCTTCTTCTGCTGGGAAATCCATCATCACTGTCCTATTCCTTGTGTCTCTGACAAGCATGGTGATGAGTTCCAGTACTGTAGCAGCTCGTCATCTTCTGCAAACAACACAGCCTTCGATACCAAACATGCCTGGAATTCCAAGTAACTTGCCTAAGCCTACAGGATTGCCACCTTTGCCTTCAATCCCAACAAATAACATTCCTCCTTTGCCAACAAATATCCCAAACCTGCCAAAACCCAATTCTCTTCCTCCTCTTCCTTCTATGCCCACCATTCCTAAACTGCCACAAGCCACATTTCCTCCATTGCCTAACATTCCTTCTGTTCCCACTATCCCTACTACTATGCCCTCCATTCCATTCTTCTCTCCTCCTCCTTCTAATTAAAACCACAAAATTATCATTCACTTATTATTTTGTTCATTCCAGTGTTATTAGTTGTTTCATCTATTGTGGCTGCTACTACTCAACAGCATATATACTTATAATTTCACTTGTATTGGTATAAATTGCTTTAGCTCGTATATGTCTCTGTATGTTAGGAAAAATTGTACGTGGCTCCATGTCATTTTTCCCTTTACTTTTCATTTGGTATGAAATTTGGGACATTGTGTGTATTTTTCTGTATTCCTTAGGCGTTCTTATTGTTGATTGTAATCTTTTCCACACTTGCTATATACAATAATGCACTTGTGGCGATGTTCATCCACCTCGCTTGAAACTTCTAAAACCCTTGTCATTCCCTATTAACTATAATTAATTAAATTAACGGTTATTCAACATTTTGCCCTTAAACTATCCTATTAAGGACATTGAGTATCTTAAACCATCAAGTGGGGCGATGTCACCGTTGAAGTATTCAAAATGCATGATACTATGTTGCCTCCACGTTGAACATATATCATTTTGACCATTGGTTGACTATGGACTTGAAAAATTATGGAAAAGTCTAAAGAAATTACAAACAAGTATTCTATGAGAAAAAATAATATCTATTAAATTCAAAAAATTGCAAATAAATATTAATGGGCTAATGTTATATTCCTGAACCATGTAAAAAACCAAAATACCATTTTATAAAGTAACCACCTTGACTTGTTGTTAAGTTGGTAGAGGCATGAATCCTAAACCTTGTACCTATAGACCTTGTAATACCACTTTTTTATTTTTGGTATGGAGTAATAAAAAATTTAATCCCAATTCCAATCTCATTTATATGGGATTAATTACTCAATACCACCCACTCCTAGTATTGGAAAATCAATCTTAGGATTGATTATTTTGCAACCGAATTGTCCTCCACCCCTACCCCCTTCTCTCTTCTCTCCCTTTACCCTTCACCTCTCCTCTCTCGCGTCTTTCCCTATGCCCTCCACCCTATCCTTCTTCTTTGGTAATCAATGAGCAATGAACGATGATAAGTGGTCTGGTGACTATCTCTTAGGACAATGATGAGCTGTAGTTCATGTTCTCTTTGTATTCTTCAACTTAGCGACGCACGATGATAAGAGATTTGGTGACTATCACGATGGGCAATGATGAGCGATAGTTCATCTTCTCTTTGTATTCTTCAACTTAGGGGTGTCAATGGCGGTTCAAGATTCCAGACTCCATCTTTGTCTTCTTCAATTCAGCGGCCGATGATTGTTCCAGACTCCTTCATGTCTTCAAACCTAGGTCCCTGCATTGGCAAGAGATCTAGTGATAGAGATTTGGTGAGTAATCCTCGAGCTCACGGTGACGATAAGGGAAAGGTGAAGGTGCATCATGGAGATGAATCTGGATTTTTTGAACTTGGATATGGATGTTTTGAACTCAGAAATGTGTTGTTTTCCTAGGTTTTCCTGAGACAAAGTAAAGCACGATGAAGATGGAGGGAAGGACGAGTTTGGGTTCAACAGCAAGAGTGGAAAAAAGGAGATGAGGGGTTTTTGTGTCTTTTTTGCAATTTTTTTATTTAATCCCAGTCTCATTTTTGTCTAATCCCATGACATACCAAACATCATTTTAAAGCTTATTCCTACTCTCAATTCATACCCAATCTCAATTCCAATCTCAATCCCATTCATATTTCTAGTCCTTTTAAATGCAATACCTTAATTATACCAAACAGAGCCATAGTAACCTAGTTAGTAGGGAGTCTATCCTTGTGCCCTAACTAAAAATAAAAAAGGAACCTCATTCAAATCCTTACGCAATAGACTTGTAAATTACAAAAGTTTAATTGTAAATTATTAGCAATGGAATTGTAAATCTTAAAGAACATACTTGTAAATAAGAGAAACGTTGTAATCAGATCCTTTGGTTATTGACTTATAAAATCCAAAAATATAGTTGTAAATTATCAATGGTGTAGTTATAAATTTAAAACAAAATTGAATAAAGACAGTAAGCAACACAATGTGCAGATTCTTATATCATTGATTTTTTAGAGATTTATATGTCATTTTACATTATTAAAAATTTAAGGTCTTTAATTGTGATTAAATTATTTTCAAGGTCCTTTGGTGTCATTCTCTAGTAAGCAAATGAAAGAAGGAAAAATGACAGTTAAGTCTAAAAAACCAAGAATTAACAATAGTTACTCCCTCCATTAAAATGTGTAAGATATTTTTAATCAAATCTCACCCTCAATAAAGGAGTCACTTGTCTTCAAATTAACTCTATCTTTTTATATTTATTCCTATTTAATAGGATGTTTTACCCTAAAATAAATATATTTATTTACTCAATAGGGGTACTTTTAAAAAAATAATGATTATATCTAAAAAGACTAAAAATATCTAACATTTTTTAACATCTAATTCTTTAAAAATTGCTTTACATTTTTGAATAGAGAAAGTATGTTCTTGATAAGAAAATTTTGAAAAATAAGTTACAAATATTGATTTAAATAATTGCAAATTCTAGATTTCTAGTTGAAAATAATAAATTTAAAATTCCAAATGTAACTTTCAGTTTGCAATATAATTGAGATTCTTGCCTAAAACTATATGAATTAATATTTACAATTCATATTTCAGAAAATTTTTTAGGAATCCAGCTGTCACTAATTCTTTCTTGCAAAATTTTACTGTCATTCTTCCATAAAAGAATATAACTAAGTAGTCGGTCTTGTACGTTTTACTCAGTTTCTTCTAAAATTATTAGGTTTGACTTCTAATCATGAAAGTTTGGTGACTTGAGAGCCAACAACACCATCGTGGTCAAGAAAACTTGAATTGAATTTTCAAATTCAGAAACTGGTCACCGATATCAAAACTAAAAGGCATCTTCTCAAGACTTCTAATTATGGCTTCTTGAAATTCTTCTTTACACGATAAAATCTTATTATTTCCATTTCCATAAATAGAGAATGGTTTTTTAACTTATTTTTAACGGAAAAAAAAAATCACACAACCCACATCCTATAATTATGTTGTTACAAGTTTCTCCCTTTACCCTATTAAAATATTGGTTTACATTATTAAAAATTTTCCTGGGCTTCTCACTCATTCGTATATAAATAGGGGTATAGTTAAAAGCTTAAAAATTTTTTGGTTAAAGTATAAAAGTCTTCTAACTTTATATAAAGTTTCAATTTGATCCTTTAATTTAGTAAAATATCTTTTTGGTCTATAACCCTAATTAGTAATTAGTTTTAAATGATTATTTTTTGTATCAGTCATTATTATTTTGAAAAAAATTAAACTTAATATATCAACATTTGAGACTGTTTTGTTAATATTTAAAAGTTTAATATAAAAATTTATTAAGATGAAACTAATAATATTAGAGTTAAAGAATTAAAAAGATACTTTATAAAGTTAAGGGATTAAAATAAAATGTATAAAATTAAAGGACTAGATATATATTTTAACCTAAAGTTTTTAAAATATTCTTTAGTTTTGAGGAAACATGTTATAAGTGACAATTAAATAAGACAAGCGGGAGTCTATGCTATTGTGTTGAACTCCGATGGTGCACTTTAATGTGAAAATGGCAAATTTGTCCTAAATTAGATCCTAATTTTTTATTCTGCGTTGCACGAGTTCGGCAGCATGTCACTAATTAATTGCTATATATTATATAGACAGACTCTTCCGGCGTCGATGACGGATGTGAGTTTGGCGAACTAATTGACAAAAAGATTTCAAAGTCTCTTTATTGTTCTCCAAACCACACATCCTCACTACCTACCCCTCTATCTATATGAACACCAAGAAACCCGCCCCCATGGATTCTCATCAAAGCTCAAATTAATTAGCAAAGCATTTATCCTCATCATCTTTCTTCATTCTCTTCTTTCATCTTCATAATTATATACTCAGACATGGCTTCTTCTTCTGGGAAATCCTTCATCACAATTCTATTCCTTATGGCTCTCACATTCTCAAGCATGATGATGAGTTCGAGTGTCGTAGCAGCTCGTCTTCTTCTCCAAACGACACAGCCTTCGATACCAAACATGCCTGGAATTCCAAGTAACTTACCGAAGCCGACAGGATTACCACCTTTGCCTTCAATCCCAACAACACTGCCTCAGCCAAATAACGTTCCTCCTTTGCCTACAAACATTCCTAATCTTCCTTCCATGCCTTCCATCCCGACAGTGCCGCAGGTTTCTCTCCCTCCACTGCCATCCTTAAACTCGTTCCCAAACATTCCCTTTATTCCCACTATCCCTACCACTATGCCCTCCATCCCATTCCTCTCTCCTCCTCCTTCTAATTGAAAACACAACATGGGTTCATCCATTGTTAGTTGCTTCATCATCTCTTGTTTTCACTACTATACTCAGCAGTATGTTAGCGGGCACACATATATATACACGTATAATTTCTTTTGTATTGGTTTTTAAATTGCTTTATCTCGCATGTCTGTATGCTTGGAAGAGTTGTAACTTGTGCGTGTGACTTTTCTTGTTATCACTTACTATGAATAATACAATGATGCAGTTATCGTGCGATGTTCATTGATCTCCTCTAAAACTTCTAATTAAACACTGTTCACTAATCAATGCTCTATTAACTATAATGAAGTTGGCCAACGGAGAGAGAGATTTATGTTTCCTAAGGCTTGGCGTTGGCTCAACTAAAAGAAAATGATGGTCAAATTTTTCACAAAATGCAGTTGTTGTAAGGCAACTTAATTTTTCCTTCTTTAGAAAAACTAAAATGTTGAAGAGCGAGCTAAATAAATCCCAAGGACATCAATAATAAGATTCCCATGATATTCATAATCACATGTTTGCTATGAAAGGTCTGTTCAGGGATTATTGGAAATTATTATTAAAATTCAAGTTTTTTTTTTAATGAAACAGATAACACTTGAAGTGATACACAGATGTTCATAACTCTCTGAATATGTAAAATTTTTACCAATAAAAAGTGTAAATAATTAATCAGAAATGAGAAAATAAAATTGTATACTAATCTTGGTTCAATTTTTCCCCAAACAATTAGTCTTCATCGAAATCATCAATGGACATGAAATGTAATTTATTATTCCCTATATATATATATATATATATACTTTTATTAGAGGCAATCCTATTTGAAGTTATTATTCCCTATATTTTAATTGTGGATCACTATGTATAAAAATGAAACATTTAGAAAATGACAAAAAGCCATGATCATCCTTAGGCCCTGTTTGGTAGGAAGGATTGGGAGTGTGGGACTGGTATTGGGATTGAATAATCCCACCTTTTTATGTTTGGTATGAGAGAGTGAGAAATTTAATCCCAATCCCAATCCCAATCCCACCTAGGTGGAATTACCCAATATCACCACCTCCCATGTTATTAAAAAATTAATTCTAGGTTTGATTATTTTCAAACCAAATTACCCTCACCTTTGTCTCTCTCCCTCAACCCTCACTCACTCAATGCAATTTCAGACCAAGCAACGCTGACGTCGATGCCCTCTCATCCGCCGACACTGATGTAGTCCTCCATCGACATCAACACCATTCTCCACCAGTGCCATCGCCAGATCTGAAGGGGGAAGGAGATTGAAGATGAGAGAAGAAGGAGAATGACCGACGACCCAAGCCTCTCCTCCATTGGTGGCAACCTTGGCGAGATTTGATTTGCTAGGTGAAGTCACTATAGTTGCCCTTGAAGTGCAATGAGCTCTAACACGTCCTGAACTTGGTGGCCGTGGTAGTGGAGGCATCAATAAGGCAAGTAAAAGGAGAACCTGGCTTTGTCCTTGCGAGGGAGAGGCGAGAGATTGTCGTGCACGAAGAAGAACAGAAATCTGTCATAAATAGGAACAACAAGAAGCTTAGGAATTAACAAAAAGAGGACGCACACAAAGAACATCTCAAATTACTTCAGAACCAGCGACTTCTTCAAAAGGCTTCTAATCATTTTTTTTAATCTCAAGGGGTATTATAGTCTTTCATAACTTATATGTAATTATAAAATAAAATAAAAGGAAGTATTTCTCACAAGTATTACTCCATACCAAACATGATTTTAAGACCTCATTCCCACTCCCAATCCCAGTTTCAATCTCACTCCCAATCTCAATTTCAATCCCTCTAAATTGATACCTATATACCAAACACTACTAGAAAAATTGAATTTAGCAAGGGACGAATCTCTCGCTAAATGCCATTTTTCGTAGCTAAATTGCATTTTAGCTACGAATTTTGTCCCTCGCTAAATTCGCAGCTAAAAAAGGGCTCGCTAAATTTAGCGAAGAATTGTATTTCCCTTGCTAATTAGCGAGAGATTTAGCGAGGGATTGAATCCCTCGCTAAAATTATCTAGGGACTAAATCCCTCGCTAAATATGCTTATATTTAAAAATAATTATGCCACATCACCCGCCATGTGTGATGTCAACTTGTGACATGTCATCAACAACCTCATGCTTTGTCAACCACCATGTCACCTACCATCTCGTACCCTATCACCCACTACATGTGCGACAACTCATGACACGTCATTGTCCACCTTGCGCCATGTCACTTGCTCCTTATCATATCAAATATTCATCATGTTTATGTCAAAGCTAAGGTTTGAACCCTTGACCTCATACCTTCCAAGCGTTATGCTCTCCTTCTTTGCCAGTTGAACTGAAAGGTACTTACAAGCATTATATGATAAATTAAAATATATATATATATATATATATTATTTCACTACATAAATATATCAAATAATATATTATAAAAATACACACATATACATATTAAATTTTATTTTCAATTATTAATATGTTAAAAATATTTATATTTTATTTAAATTATTCTTTATATTATATTTTTAATAAAATATTATTTCATTAATGAAAATCAACTTAAAATAAAGAAAATATTAAATAATTTTATTATGAATATTTTAGTTAATTTTTAAATTTAATTATTATTTTTAAATGAAAATAATTAAATGTATAATTAAAAATCATTGCCAAAAGATAATTTTTTTGTAGTAATTAGCTAGGAATAGAATTCCTTACTAAATCCCTCACTAATTATCTTATTTTAGAGAGAGATTGACAGTCTTTCATTATTTTCCTCGCTAATTCTCTTATTTTAGAGAGGGATTGACAGTCCCTCGCTAATTTCTTTGCTAATTTTAAGTCAAGCTACGAAATCAATATCTCTCGCTAGTTTCCTTACTAATTTGGTATTTTAGAAAGGAATAGATGATCCCTCACTAAATTTTCTCGCTAATTTGCATTTTTCTAATAGTGAAACAGGGCCTTACTCTTTTGATCATGAATACAGTCAAAGAAAGATTCAATATATGAAATTCAAATAACTCACAAAGAGATCAAATATAGTATCCTTTAAACTGAAATATGCTTAAAATGAGATTATAATTTGAAACTAAGTGGTACATTAAACAGTTTACCTAGCATATATATAGTATGTATCCTTAAATCCGCTTCTATAAAACTTGTCAGTGAGGGCTACCAATCAATGACTACCTAATTAGCATTATTGTACTCCTCCATAGTATAACTCATTCAACAAGCATGGAGAAGAATTTTATTAAGTTTGGATCAGAGATGAAATACATTCAAATCGGTTAAAGAGTATTTTTGTCCCTTAAATATCTTGCAAGGATTAAATTGATATTTTAAAGTACACATTGAAGCGATGTCATCTAACAAGTATAAAAATAATTGCAATATTATGCTTCTCTTTGGGCTTAAAGACATTGATATAATGATATGGACCATTAAAATCATTAAAATGATGAAATGATTAACTATTATAACAAGAATAACATAAAACATGATTGGACATTAAAAAAAAAAAAAAGACCTCTCTGATCCTATACATAGCATCCTTTTGAGTACTTCTTCGATTCTTTTTATAAGAACAAATCTGTTTTGTCTCTTGTATCACATATTTCTTTCAACAAAATACCTTTAGTTAATGCTAAATATTTTATAGTAAAAGGTCATTACCAGTTAAGATACCCCATTAAATTTATGGGATAATTATGGGAGAGTTGCATAAATATTTTTCACATAATTATATAGAATCTATATAACTACTTTTCTTAATCTTGGTGAATTAGTTGAAAATGCCCCTATATTTATAACTGGAAGGAGTAAAATGAATTTTTAATTACATATATAGTTATTTTTAAAATAATTATGTATTAATTCTTTTCTTTTTTGTAAAATAAGACAATTCGAAAGTTTCTCAACAATATATCCAGAAGGCCAAATGAACAAAGAACAATATAAAGAATGGACGTGAATATCGCATTATGTCATAATTAACGACTTTAATTTCTTTTTGGCCAAATGAAACATTCGGATTAAAAATTTTCTTCTTAAAGTTAAAAGTTACTGTGATCCCATTTAGTTAAACCAACTCGACCGGTTTTAATTCAAGGTCAATTATGTGGTTGTTATTGTTGTTATTATAAGAAGCTAACTTTTATTGCCCTTTTCATCCAACTACTATGAAAATAAAATAATTGTCCATCTTACGTTTGAAGGTTCAGATCAGTTATATATATAAATAAGAACCAACCTTGCATAAATTAATCCAACCAACCACAAGAGAATGCGTAGAATATGGAAAAATTGGTGAACTGACAAAAGATTTCAAAGAGTCTTTGTAGCTCCCCTAATTAACCTCATAACTCAAAAAGCTCTATCTCTGCCTCTATCTATATAAGACCATAAACCTCATTGATATTTCTCATCAAATTACTCAAACCAAAGCATTATTCTCATCTTCTATATCTTCTGCACTCTTCAACTTCATCATAATCCAGCCATGGCTTCTCCTTCTGGGAAATCCATCATCATAGTTCTATTCCTTATGGCTTTCACATTCCCATGCATGTTGATGAGTTCCAGTGTTGTAGCAGCTCGTCATCTTCTGCAAACGACACAGCCTTCGATTCCAAACATGCCTGGAATTCCAAGCAACTTGCCTAAACCTACAGGTTTACCACCTTTGCCTTCAATCCCAACAACACTGCCTCAGCCAAACATTAATGTTCCTCCTTTGCCCACAAACATCCCTAATCTTCCTTCCATGCCTACCATTCCGACAGTGCCGCAGGTTTCTCTTCCTCCATTGCCATCTTTAAACTCCTTCCCAAACATTCCCTCAATTCCCACCATCCCTACCACTATGCCTACCATTCCATTCCTCTCTCCTCCTCCTTCTAATTAATCTCAGAGAGAACGGTTCACTTAATGCTGTTCATCTGCTGTTAGTTTTCCTTTAAACATGCATGTAGCACTTATTATGTAATTCATTTGTGTTGGATTATGTTGCTTTCTTGTATTCACCACGTGGGGAAGAGTTGTATGTCACTATTTAATTATATATGTGTCATTTCTTCTTTTATTATTATTTTTTGGTTGTGTGAAATTTATGTTATTGATATGTGGATCAGATAAAGAATATTATCGCACGTGGTATTTACAGTAATGTTACTATATCTATATTTAACACTGTTTTAAACATTCTTGCAATAAATCTTCCACTAAAAGATTAACCACTTCTGTTTTGCTCGATCTTCACTGTCGAATTCACTCATCAAGTTTACAATGGGATCTTGGGAGGCGTAATTGGGTTTCAGTATAATGGATTACTAGAGTTGGTTCTACGTGCTTGTCTTTGAATCTTACGATATACTATTCTCAAGAGTAATTTTGGGCATTGTGCGCAAGGCTGAGTTGAATTATGATAAATTCCTTATGTTTCAACTTCTCTACATCAGCCATCTGTGCTTCTGTTATTTTCAATCTCTTGTTTAACATCCAGCTGCTTTCAAAAGTTTTTAAAACTTTTGTTTTTACAAAATACCCAATTCAGTTCTTTTTTGGTAATCAGCTTCTCTTCTAACTTAAAATATATTAATATAAGATTTTTCAACATGTAGATTTTGAATTATTAAATACATGAAAAAACTAACATCTTGTGATAATGTCCAATAGTTAAACCAACTTTTGAATGATTTCGCATGTGGCACCGCCAAATGATAATTAAATACTTCTTAACTATCAAGCAGCGTTCTAAATATACGCTCTTTGGTCTTATTATATACATAATATAATACAATAATTTGTATACAAAGATAGACTATAAATTACTTTTTTTTTTCAACTTTACCCTTTCAAAATTTTCCATGAGTAAACTATAATATATATATATATAATATATAAGAGATTATATATGAGCGAAAAATTGTTTTTAAAAATAATGTATTTAATATGGATAAACTGAAAATTTTATTAAGTTTTTAGACAAATCAATGATTTAGTTATCCATTCTTAGTTCCGGTGAGATAGTTACAAATGACTTATATATAAGATTTGAGAGAGAAAAGTTTTGGGAAACAATAATTACAGACCTTATAAAAATGGCAATTGAAGACCTAACATTAGTGGGTGTATCTTCATTTTCATTATCAATATCATCAACTCTATTCCTCGCTTTGGTTGTAATAACAACAAGCCAATTTTTCTTGGCAATAATTAATTTTGGATATGGTGTAAAATACACTTGTTGGGCTTGTTGTGCAAGAATAAACGGATCATCCCCCTTATATGTTCTTTTCGCATTTACCTCAACAGTGCCATATTTAGGAGAAACTCGAGTTCCTCTTGAACTAGGATCAAACCATTTACATTTAAAGATTGTTAAAAACTTGAATGGTTTTCCAGTGAACTGTAATTGTATTATCTCCTCTAAGACACCAAAGTAAGAAGATTCAAGTTGACCATGATTACTTCCCTTAACTATAACTCCACTATTAGTGGTCTTCCTCCCTTTTGCCCATACATTAGTATGAAACTTGTATCCATTTACTGACCATTGATGAAATGTTTTTGCTGGCCTCATAGGACCCCAAGCCAAAGAAATCAATAACTCATCTTGTATATTATTTTGAGGATTGAAAATCTATTTCAAATAAAATATCTACATTAGTATGATTTTAAAATATGATCTAATAGAAAATCATTAACACAAACTTACATAATCTTTGAACCATGTAGGAAATTTGGAAGATATACACTTATCCACCTTCTCATTTGATAAAGTATGATCCATAGAAAGCAATTCATTGACATAAATGCTATATAACACAAAAAATAAGATTAGCCTTAAAAAAGTATATGTTGAGTCAAATAGGAAATTACAATGTGATATATATAAAATCTTACTTGAGAATAGGTTTAACTTCAGGACAATTAAGAAGAACATACAAGATTATTGCATATTCCTCCTCTGGGGTAAGTTGACGAGTGTTTTGTGTTCTTTTTCCATGTGGTTGGCTAGGATAATTGAAGATGGAGATAGGAGGATAATCATCACGCTCCCCACTATCATCATTACAGGGAACTCTTCTAGTTCTTGATTCAACATGTTCCTCAAAATAATAAGAGCAAAATTTAGAAGTTTCTTCAAGAATGTACGCTTCGCAAATAGAACCTTCAACATGAGCCTTGTTCTTTACCTTTCTCTTTAATGTGTATAAAAACCTTTCAAATGGATACATCCACCTGTATTGTACAGGGCCACCAACTATAGCTTCATAACTCAAGTGAACAGGTAAATGCTCCATGACAGCAAAAAAACCTAGAGGAAATATCTTCTCAAGTTTGCATAAAATGATGGGAATGTTCGCCTCCATTACTTTTAGGTTATTTATATGTAATGTAGGTGCACAAAGATCACGAAAAAAATGACTTAACTCTGTTATAGGATCACATACTGAGGGTGGTAACCCAATGCACACTATTGGTAATAGTCTTTCCATGAAAACATGACAATCATGACTCTTCATTCCAACCAACGTGCAACTTTTCAAGTCAACACAACGTCCCAAGTTTGACACATAACCATCAAGAAGTTGTAGACTTTTTACCTACTCACACACTGCTCGTTTTTGTTCCATATTAAAAGTATATGTAGTTCCATTATAAGGACGTTGACAATATAAAGGCAAATCTAACCTAGCTTTCTCATTATCTTTCATTTTATCTTTCACATTCATTATAGTATTAAACACATTGTGAAATACATTTCCTTCTGTGTGCATTACATCTATGTTATAGGGATTTAAAAGGTCACGCCAATAAGGAAGGTCCTAAAAAATGCTTCGCTTAGTCCAATTATACTCCTTGCCATATCCTGGGAGATGTAAATTTGGTGATTCTATTATTTTAGGAAATCTCCTAACTTGCTCAAACAATTCACCACCTGAATATCTTGATGGTGGTTCAGAGTTCTCTATTTTGTTCTTTCTAAAACTCTTTTTATTTCTCCTAAACGGATGATTTAAGGGAAGGAATTGACGATGATAATCAAAATAGAAAGGTTTAATCCCATGTTTTAATTGAAATGCCTTCGATTAGTCCATACAAATTGGACAACCCAATTTTCCTGCTGTTTGCCAGCCACTTAACATACCATATGTCGGAAAATCATTAATCGTCCATATAAGGGCAGCTCGTAAGTTAAACTTTTGTTGTAATGATATGTCATACGTCACTACACCCTCTTTCCAAAGCAACTTCAATTCATCAATTAAGGGTTGTAAGTAAACATCAATTTGACTTTTTAGATTACTTGGTCCAGGAATTATGATTGTCAAGAACATATATTCTCGTCGCATACACATTCCAGGTGGAAGGTTGTAAGGAGTAACAATAACAGGCCAACAAGAATATGGCCTAGAACTCATGTTGAATAGACTAAAGCCATCAGAACAAAGACCTAACCAAATATTCTTAGCTCTAATGCAAATCCTAGATGTGTTAGATCAAAATACTTCATGCTTCCCCATCTGATGGATGGGACAAGACACCTTCATCTCGATGATTTTCATAATGCCATCGCATATATTTGGCTGAGGCTTTAGATGTAAATAACCTTTGGAGTCTTGGAATTAATGGTAAGTACCACATTTGTTTTGTTGAGATCTCCTTAAACCTTCCTTTTCCAATTCTTGCCTCCTTAAATCTTGCAATCTTACAAAATTGGCACTTCCTCTCATTTACCGCATTGCCATAATACAACATACACCCATTACTACAACAATCAATCTTTTGATAACCACAACCAAGTTGGGTGACTAATTTCTTAGTTTGATACAAGTTTGAAGGCATATGATGGGTTTTTGGCAAGATCTCATTTATCAATGTGATAATTTCATCCATACAAGCCTGTGGAATGTTATAATCAGACTTGATGCTCAATAATCTCACAGCAATTGACAACACAGTATGATTTTCACACCCATCCCATAACGGAGATTGTGAAGCACGAAGCATGTCATAGAACTTTGCAGAATTTGTGTTAGGATCCTTATTCATGTCATGGCTATTAAATGATGGCCCAACAGCATCCCTAACCATTTGCTCATATGGATTTGAAACTGTGTGAATGTTAATGTCAGTTGAAGCCACTTGGGGTCTTTCCTTACCATGGTTGTGCCAATAATAATAGTCAAGCATAAACCCTTTATTATACAAATGCATCTCGACTTCAACAGGCTTCAAGTATTTTAGACATTTACATTTTGCACAAGGACATCTAAAATTCCCTATTAGTTTTAAAATCCTCTCGATTCTTTACAAACTTAATAAACTCTTCTACCCCAACAAAGAACTCACCAGTGATCTTTAAACGCTTCCCTACACATCTATTGTCCATCCAACGGCGATGTTCAGGTGGAGTCATCTATCAATAATGGAACATTATTTCATAAACCATATTCTATCTTATAAATAAAAGTTAACTTTTCCTATAATTGAATTTCAAAAGTTGTGTAACGATAAGGAAGTGAGAGCAATATAATGGTAAGAATGAAGTGATAGTGAAAAATTATATATGGTTGACAATCCAAAGAGGTAACATGTTATTGTCTCAAAAATGAAGAAGAGATTTGAAAAGGTCTAATTATATTTTCTTTTTATTTTTAATCATAAATCAATAAATTGAATTCAAAATAAATCAACAATCATTTATTTTTTAATTCACGTGACTATCCTGTTATTTATTTGAAGGGGTTTAAAAATTAAAGTAATGCCCAGGTTCTTTAGAATGCAAGTTATAGGTTAATATCTAAAATTTTTTAATTTCTAATGCTTTAGGTAAATTGATTTGATGGGACATGGATATTTATTTACATTTTTTTATAGGCCATTGTCTTTATTGAAGTTTCATTCACAGATTTGAGGTTATCTCTCATCTAGTCATCTTATTAGAATTTTTCCAAAAAAATAATTAGTAAATGTGGACCATAACACTTTTAAGTTTAAGCTCTAGCTGAATTTTAGCTTGGTATATAATTAATTTGTGGCCGTAGGGGTTAGCATTTGCCATAGATTCATGTGCTCATA